CATGTGCTACCAGCCCTGCCAGGTGAGCTACCCAGGCGCCCCCTGACACCACAACCTTACCACTGTTTAATTCAACACCTGATGCCCTTGAGAAGAGAAGAAAGGAAGGAAGAATGCTTTGATTACAAGCTTTTTTGTGTGTCTTTACTGCAGTTAATGCTCATCCTGATTGAGGTGCTGCTTCATTCCTTGTCAATATGTCTGTCCTTGACTACTCGCTGAAAGCGAAATATCGTTTAATTCAAAATAATGACGTCAGTCGTCTTATTGTGGGAACTCAAACATGTGCAACCTTGGTGCTGCATCTCTGAACCTGCATGGAACAAACCCGTCTGATGAAACAGTCTCATATGTCTGTGGGGTTATGCAGTGGCTTCACGAATGGACTGACGAAGTAAATCAGGTGAAAAGTCTGACATAGTCTCGTCTTTGGCCAATGAAAAGCTGTTATTCTTATTTCAACAGCAAAAAATGTCCCTGAAACCTCTTTTCTGACTTTCACAGCTCTCACAGTTCTCTCATATTTCTTTTGAAGATGCATACTCTCTTTGGCCCTTCCTCTCTCTGATGAGTGAGAGTGGACAAAAGACACACTGCTTCAGAGCAGCCAGTTTGGTTCATGCCAAAATATTTCTCTGCACTATTTATCTACTGTAAAAAAAGAGACAGTGGAGAATGGGTGGCACAGAATCAATAGGTATATCGAGTAATAATGGATGGTTAACACATGTCTCCATTTATGTTTTGCACATTAGAAGCCCTTGACCTAAGGAGGCCTTGAAAATATAAGTAGTGCTCATTCAGTATTTCAGACAGAAAGATTTTCTTGTAACACAAGTAGATATGTTCAATTCTGTTATCCCGGCAAACATTGCTACTATTTTTTTCTTCTTCTTGTGTTTTGTTTTGTAAGCCTTCATATGTGGAAAACATCTTTGGGTCCCTTGAAAAGCGCTTTAAAAATGATATCAATATAAAAAGTTATTTCATATTATTATTTTTAAGATGTTTGGCTGTGTGAGGCTGTCATTAAGACACAGTGGTGCTTTGCCCCGAATACTAACATCAGCATGATAACATGCCCAGAATAACAATGCTAACATGCTGATGTTTATCATGTTTACAATCTCAGTTAACTAAATGCTAATTAGCATTAAAAACAATTTTAATTTGAGCCTAGATTATCTGTCTCTTGTATTACTGTCAGGATATAGTAAAAGACCAGACCAGCCGACAGACAGAAAGCCGCACTGGTAATGTGGCTAAAAAGGACCTGGATGACAAAACCACTCAGAATTCCTCTAAATGCAACTGGTAAATCAACTTCATGTATGCCCACGAAAGAAACTACTGCTCAAACATATCTGCTTACCTGCTGTTTTGGTGACTTTCATGTTTGCATTTAAAATGATGAATGACACATTTCTAACAAACCAAAACGTGTTTTTTTCTCAGTTCCTGAAAAGATGACATTTTTGTGATTGCAAGCTTGACAAAATGAAATAGTATTGTGCGGTGTTTTATCAGGATTTATGGACATTCTCATCGGGCATAAAAGCAAACACACACCCATTGTGCACCCACAATCAGATTTACATTGCGTCTGGTTTCCCTGCTGGGAAGGTAATTTCACCCACTGGTCTTCATTTCAGTTTGATGAGTTTGATGCACCTTCATAATTACCATCATTGCCTCCATTAAAATATCTGGGGGGTTACTGACAACTCGTACATCAATCCAGACATCAGCATCTCAATGAACCCCACAGGTTGCATGTGAGGAGGCAGAGGTATGTTTAAGCTTGTGTTAAAGGCAAGAAGTTATGCAGCAATTACCAACAATAAATAATTCCCTAATTGAACTCGAGCAATTAATGCTTTAATTACAGTAAATGAGACCCTTGTAGCCTCTGATTGGCATTATATTTCACTCTGTTTGTCATAAAAAATGTTGTGTGATTGCTTTATGGCATGAAACAGGAAGATGTTGCTAATCCTCTCTAGATGCAAAGATCATCTTTATGACGGAGGGTTTATGAGAAATGTGTTCTTAATTTGCAGACACTGGCAATAAAACACAACCGTGAAAGAGGGGTAAACATTGGTGGTGTCAAACGTTTACTGTAATGACACCTAAGAAGCACAATTATTTTGACTGAGATTGACTTCTGTCCCAGAGTAAAGTTGTTCTGACATCCATCAGAGCTTTCATAAGTCTAAGTGAGTCACCCACTGGTAGTAAAACCAGAACAGCAGCAACACAAGGTGAAGCATATGGTGCCACAGGAGGAGTCAGTGCATGGGAAACAAAGACATGTTCTGTTTATTGTTGTGTATCAGTAACTTGTGTTCCTCATGGTTGGAAGTAAATGACATAATCCTCATTTCTTCACAGTATGCACACTGCTGCATGAGTGCACGATGACAGAGCAGCCATCTGACCACAGACACACACTGCATGTTGTTCACTTGCATTGTCCGTTTGCAGAACTTCCAGAGGGAACAGAAATATTTATCTTTGTCTTCCCACACTTTTTCTTTATGAATTATGAGCTTTACATGTCTATATTTTCCACAGTTGCAACCACTTCACATACATATGTGCACCATGCATCATCCTCTGAGCGTATACAGTAGCATTATCTTATCTGAGGGCGTTGTGTCAGCTGTAACTGGTTCCATATCTGGGAACCAACTGGGAGAGACTGATTTTTATTGCATGTAACTACACATACGTCTAAATTTCTGCTGTATATGGTCCTCTGTATGGTTTGAACCAATAATAAAAAATAAGTCTTAATAGTTCGAGTGTGTATTTTGACTCTGAATGTTAAGTTAAAGAACCAAATCTATAGAAGCAGGAATAATTGTTGAGACTGATGTTGCCTCAGCTTTATGGCAATTTTAGGGGATGATGTTTTTTGTAATGTGTTATTGTATTATATTATAAGGTATAACTAATATTTCTCAGCCCCCCTTTAATTATATTCACTTTACAGATGGGAGACAAATTGAAGAAAAGGTGTTGATTCACATCATTTTCATCCTTATCAAACGATTTAGTGACCCCCTGTGCTCTGTGTAGCAGTATCTGCTTTCCTTATGTTCATCTACACATTTGTTTAGGTTTTTTAATATTGCTGTGACACTTAGGCCCATCACAATGTTTATTTTTTGTTGATTCTGATGGCCCCTGTGGACAAAAACGGTCGTGTTTCAACTCGTTTCATTGATTTCAAGGGGAGTCCCACCAGGTGGCAGGCATTAAGAACAACTATATAGAGATATCCAATATTCTCGCTGATGGTCTTGTGTGCTTATGTAGGTCATAGAGGCAGCAGTATTAAACTGAGACTGTTTCAATAATAAAATAATACAACGGTGTAGAAATACTGTATTTCATGTAAATGTCCTGCATTCAAACTTTGATTTAAGTAAAAGTACAGAAGTATTATTTAAAAAAAAATGTCTTAAAGTATTAAAGTAAATCTAGTGGTTCTGCGAAAAATGTCCTGTGTGACTGATATATTATTATATAGGTTAGGTTAAAAACTTTATTGTGTTTGGCTTCACCACAATCAACATAGATTACACAAAAGAAAATAGTCAAATAACATCAAATTGGGAGAGCTTGGAATTCAATTATAAATACAGTTCAATAGGCCTATTACAAAAAGAGCCACAAAATGTACAAAGATATGACATTATTGATTGTTAATACTGATGCAGCGACGCATTATTAGCATTTTACTGTTGTAGCTGATTGAGGTGTGACTAGTTTTAACTACTTTATATACGGGTTGGTAGTTTAGTCCAGTGGTTCCCAATGTCAGGGGTCATGAGCTGAGTAATGGGGTAGGAAACAAGGACATTTCTGCGACACATGTTCTTAGTTTTTTTTTATGAAGTATAGTGTTACCTGTTTGGACCTCATACTGGTTTTTAAATGAAACCATCTAAAACAGGAAATGAAATGTCTCTTTGGTGGAACTGCTAACAACTCACCTGAAACATGATAAGGGGCCCCAACTATACACTGTTTTTATAAGTCACAAGCCACAAAGGGTGATTTAATATTTAACCATGAATAGTGTTTTATAAGCTGATCATATTTTTTTTGTAAATTCTGTAAAGTAGGGCTGTCACGATATCTGATTTGATGATTATTGTGGCCAAAAGAATTCACAGTAATGATACCATCACAATATAACTATATGTTTTGTCTCTTCTTTGGCAAATTGATTACAGGGAGGTGTTATGCACGCTAACTGTACAAAAGCAGGGTCAGAGCTAGAGGGGTGGCAGCCCTAAAAAACACCTGGCCAGTTTGCTCATTTTAAAAATAACATGTTAATGAAATTACCACATTTAAACAGTTATGACCACATTTTAGACTAATGGTTGGCTTACGGTCAATGAAAAAATGTCTGAAGATTTGGAAATAAAAAAAAAAAATGTAATGCCACTTTTAGATATTTCTATATAAAGGTTTAATAATGTGCCACAATAATGTAATGTTTTTGAGTTCAAATATCTTAAAATATTGATATATGTGATTGTTTGCAATTAAATCAGCATATATTTCTGCCACCCTTTAAGTCCATGCCACCCTCTGGCTACCCTATCTCTAGACCCGCCCCTGTAAAGTATGCTAAGAATACTGAGGTAAAGTACAAGTACCTGAAGCACCAAGAGAAGTTGTAGTTAAAGTTGTAGCCATAGTTACAAAATAAATGTCTCGTATTATAATAGAGTTTTGTGACATGATAACATTGAAGATGAAAGAAAGGACCAGTCGTGTCTTTATTTAATTACAGACACAGCAGTTTCTTTCTTTCTTTATGTCTACGTGTTGACGCCCTCATTCACTGACGTGCACTGATGATCTTCCATTGGTTACTTGTTTGTTGTTCAAGGTAAAGCCCGAGTGGGAGGAGGAGGAGGAGGAGGGGGAGGAGGATATCAGGAGCGGAGTAATTCACTCCACTCACAGCGCAAGAACGCACACTGTCTGCAAGGGGACACACACTAACCTGCGCCGGATTATTACTACATTTACACTTATTTTACTTTTTTTTGCTACAATATATATATTTTTTTTCTTTTAACGAATTAACTCCTCTCAAGGATATGTTGGTGGAAGTTTCAAAGAGCATATTCATCCTTCTCTGCTGCATGTTGCTGGAACCCGTGAGTATAGGCTATTTAAACACTTTTGACTTTTCTCATCACTCGAACCTGGGCTCGTTTTCAAGTATGCGCCAGTTGCTCGTCTAATTTGGCAATGTAAGGGTGAGCACGTAGATCTCTCAAGTGGATGAACCAGTTTTGGATGCAGAGCGCACCAGTGTGCCCCACTGAGGTCACTGGTCAACATGTGTGCACGGAAACTGTGGAGAGTTATATATACATTGAGTAAGGTTGTCATCGTCATGTTTTTATATTGTTATTAAAGACATTTAAGGAGAAATAATATTTAAACTTGAGCTTTTTGTTTTTTTAAAGAAGTTTTTAAAAGTCGAGAATGACTTCCTCTCCCATGGTCACAACACCAGTGTCCTCACTCCAGTTCAGCCTCTGCTCCCCATCAACACCCTCTCTTCCTCAGGCACATGCAGGCAACACCTGCAGCTTTTGAAATGACATTTGGCACCAACACCAAACATCTGGTCAGACTGTGATTGTTTTACAGTGACATTCATGTGTCTTTATGTTCTATCTGATCTCTTCTCATGGCTACAGTTAAATTGAATCACCAAGAAAAGTCCCAATGTGCATTTTGGTATCCCCATGGCGATGGCCTCTTTTGTCTGTCTCTGTGCTCTCTGGTCTCCAGCGTTCTTATCCACAACTGTCTCCTGCAGAGAAGCATGTATGATTCATGCTGGAATTCAGTTTGGAGGAGGTCAAAGCCTTAGAATAGCATGCTGGCTTTTACATCTGCATTTGTACACACTCACAGACGCTTTCAGTGCCTCTGCGTTGAAAATGAAGCAAAGAAAAAGTCAGGCAGTGTTGTTATTGCTGGCGGAGAAGCTAAAAGTAATTCTTATGATCACAGTCATGATTGTAATGATGGAGTGTGGGGAAAGTTTTCTCCTGATACTCCAACTTGCATTGCTTAAGGCAGCGCCAATCCATCACTGACAACATCTTCTCCATTCATAGTCCAGAGGTGCATCGTGGGTGAAGTAACACAGGACGTGCTGCGTAGCCTGAGGAGTGAGATAAATCATAACCTAAATGGGGGGGTCACCTTGTGTGGGGGGAGAGGCTGGAGTCATATGGGCTCATTTTGTGGCTAACAATAGCCACGTACTACCAGTCTGATTAATGCCCAGAGAGAGGACACTCATCCACCTAAGTAACAGCAATAAATCTCCCGGTCCTGCAGAGGGTCTGTATATCCTGGTGGTATAGCACTCATGGATTCAGCTTCACGTTGAACCAATTCGTGGCTGAAGATTCACTCCACATCCTCACATGCAAATCTAAGGAATATAATGGCTGAATCACAGCCTAAAGATTGATTTTGTGTCTGTCACATGTGTTGGGAAGAGAGATTAATGGGAGCCCAGGTCAGCTCATCTCAGGAACAGGAGTGAATATCTGTGTTTGCCTTGAGATGTGAAGCAATGTTGAGAGAGCACACACAGCCTTGCAGTCTTCACTAATAGACAAATGATCTCTGACTGTCACCGTGGCCTGAAGAGATATGTGGAAAACGTGTGTAAAATTGTTTTCTTCGCAGGTGTTTTCAGTGCAGAATCAGATGTGTGACATGATGAAGGAAATAGACAAGGAGAAGGACATGTGTGAGGCTCTGATTGAGAACAAAACAACAGGTATGTAGTTTTGTGTGTGTGTGTGTGTGTGTGTTTGACTTTCTTTCATTGTCCTGGCTGCACTTATTTTGTTTTCTCCTGATTTGCTTAATCCACAAGCAGGCTCTGATCGAAGTGACACAACAAGCTCTAAAGACAACAAAAGCTGTTCAAACCTCCCGTCTGGATTTACATTACACCCTGCGTGGTTGAACCCTGTTTTCCCCCTAATGCCAGCCCCTTGTCACATGTGCCTTGGTTTAATTTCAAAGAAAACTTTCTAATTGATCAGGTTCTGTATTTTCATTAAACACCATTAAGAAGAATGCAACAGCGAGTGAGCAATAATAAAACTCACTTAGCTGATTTGTTGCTTGAGTTTATTGTTGATGAAGCTGGAATTACGTGTCGCTAAGTAGGGTGTTGCATACTCACAGCACGCAGTACATAATTATGTTCTACAGAGAGATAATTTTGTTTCATTGAGCCTCTATTATCTCTGTGTGCAGCCAAAACCTCATTGATCCGAGCTGCAGGTATCACGAGACTCTGTTTACTTTCACACAATGAGAAAGTCATTAAACACTCATTATCTTTTTATTTTAGATACAACTTTGCTTCCTATAGATTTCATCAAATGTAAATGCTGCCAAATGCTCAAGGAGATGGTGTGAATATCACCTGGTAAAGTGAGCAGGTGTGCATCTAAAAGTGCTGTGACCTGATTCTGCGTCCTGAGACCGAACAAGTCTCAGTGGTCTGTTGAATTTAAAAACAGTGTGTAACAAAGGACGGGGAGCTGTTTTATTAGTCATAGTGGGGGCGTGTTAACTCAGGTCATCCGCTGTTATGGACCCGGGGCTTTAACAACAGCTGACTTGAGCCACCACATTCTGGCTGCCATGGGAACTCTGGGGCTCCACCTTCACCTGAAGCAGGTTGCTGTTTGTCCCTGAAATGGAGTCTCCTCACAACAGTTTTAGTTAGACATATAAAAAAAAAGCTGTTTTATTTTGTTATCTTGATACATGTGGTGTTTCCATGTTCGAACACGCCTTTTTTGGCCTTTCTCTTTGTCCCTCCCTCAGGTTGCAGTGGGACATGGGACAAGATCACCTGCTGGCCCAGTGCCAATGTTGGAGAGGTGGTCACCATCCCCTGCCCTAAATATCTCTTCTACTTCTCCAGGGACGTCCATACACGTAAGAATCAGGTTTATAAAGTAGGTTTTGCATATGTCTGTGTGACCCTCTGATGCCTCTATGTTTGAAAAAAAGAATAGATAAAACATGATTAAATGCCCTCTAGAGTGCATTTTCAGTGGAGAAAATGTGATGCAGTGCCATATATTATTCTTAAAATCTAAGTCACATAAGAAAATCATTTTAATCTTAACCAGGGTTTGGAACTGTTGCACTTTAAATGCATCATGACTTCCTGTGTGCTGGTGCCCCACTGCAAGCAGCTGGTGGCCTTTTTATTTTTTTTTGCCACTGCCCCTCAAACAGCCAGTCCACCACTGTGAGTTTCACAACTGTTCTGGTTCAGTCTCACTGCTCTCATCAGGTTGTTTCCAGCCACAAGCAGCTGTTTTCAGCAGCTCTAAATGACTGAGGCGGGTCCTTTATGTGTTTATACCCAATGAAGGTCATATAGACAGAAATGTAAGCAGTAAGCAAGACAGTGAGCAGGAGTCCTTCAAAGACTTTTTTTCTATACGTTTTGGAGGATCTCAGCAAAAAAAGCTTGAAAAATGTCCTGTAAGCTACCTGCTCAGACAGACGGGGTTGGCACAGCGGAGCATGTAGCTGCTGAAGAGTCAGATATTTCTCGCAGTGAATAATGTAAACCTAATATTGCTAGCAGATGTGTAAATAAACAACTGTTTGCTAGAAAGTTCAACTTTATATGTTAATAATATGTCAGTGTTGTGTTTTGTTGCGCTGCCTGAAGTGACCAAAAACTAAATTATTGCAGAACATGTTGTAATCCTATCTTTTAATGAACCTGTGTCTGTCCTAATCAAAACTGGTAGAAATGGGGCTCCATGGTAGCTCACATTTTAGAGAGTGAGTTTGACGTGAAGGTGAAGCCAACGCACAAGGGCCTTAAACGTGCATTTTGTGTAATGACCAGCAGGGGGCAGCTCCACTGGCTACAGAAAAAGTCAGATAGTATGGAGTCTTATGAGAAAATTACCCTACTTCTTGATTTATTAGCTCACACGACTTTATGGTCTTAATTGCTGATGATAAAGCAGAGTATGCTTTTAGGCATGGCTACATTACTATTGACAAGTCACTCTCAGTGAGTCCATCCGAAACTCAGATCAAACTGTCAAACTAGGCAGTGCTGATCAAATATGAAACAAGATTCTGCCTCACTTAAGATCTTTTCAGAAACATATTTTAGTGTACTGTTTATGTGTAGTATGAGAGTGTGTGTGAAAGTCGAGGCTTCAGAACGCTATTCCACAAACCAGTGGGTCTGTAGGTCTACACTTACATTCCAGCCTGCAGCCCTTGGCTGTATGTCATCCCCTCTCTCTCTCTCTCTCTCTCTCTCTCTCTCTCGCTCCACCATTCCTGTCTTCGCTTCAGCTGTCCTGGTCAAATAAAGGCAAAAAAAGCCTAAAGGAAAGAAAACTGGTACAAATTAATATATAATTATACTCATCTCCCTGATCACCTTCCAAACCTAAAGAAACATACAACCATGTAAATATTTTTATGAAATTATGACTACCCACCTTTAACTGTATCTGTAAGTAAATTAGAATATTTTTCAAAAACAAAATCACTCTTTCTAAACAATATATATAAATATTACACCAAGGATATATACCTCACTATGTCAATCCTGTAGATCCATATCTTTGAGTCTACAATTTACTTTTTAAAATTAAATTGAAATTTTTTGTAAAGGGTGTTCATGAAGGAGTTATTTTTTAAAAGAATGCCACTCATCTTCATCCTTTCTTAACCTTCCTTTTGTTGCTGATGTTCCAAACATTCCCTGCTGTTGAAGTCTTTGTCAGTATCATCATGCTCCATTTTTGAAACCAGAAATAGGAATTATGAAGTACACTGAGCATCCTAGAAGCTCATATTCATGATGCCATTCTAGCACATGATCACCTGTTGTTTCTATCTCTCCTGACACCACATCTCATATAGCCCCACAAAGTAAAGTACAGTAAAACTCAAAACACATGGCACAACTGAGTCACAGAAAGATAAATAAACCCGGCACCATCCACCCATCAAAGACGCATTCTGTTTATTTGTGCTCCTTTGATCCATAAGAAGCCTCACAGGGAAGTAATACTAATTGTGGTAAGGAAAGAAAGCCACTCTCATGAGAATTTATTAGTTTATTAGTATGTTCATTTGTCATTAATTACCACACCGAGTAGATGAAGTTGTTTATTTGTATTCAGCTAGCAGAGAAGCCTCAATTTAAACTTGGAGCCTTGAGAAATGTGCCTTTATTGAAGTTGAATCAGCTTGAAATTAGCTTGTTAAAACACTGGTATAGTTCTTTGATATGCTGTCAAAGAATATTTCTCAATAATTTAATTTATTTATAATGGATCAGACAGTTAAGTATACTATGTGTCAGTTATAGTGCCAAACCAACAGAGAATAAATCTCTACAGAGCTTTTTAGCCCTTTTAGCATATTGTTTTGGTTTTCCCGCCCACATACTCTTATGTTATGAACCTTGTTTCAGGATGCAGCTTGCAGCTTCAGCATCAAAGTGTATGCTACCTGTCCAGCACCAAATGGAAAAAACAGATATTTAGCGCATGCGTTTAGCACAGAGAAGCATTTAGCAGATAAAGAGCCAGATATTTTTTGTCAAACAGTTAATGGATACTGAAACAGAGCCAAAAGGAGAGTTAATTTTGGGCTTCTATTCGTCAGGTAGCAAAATACACTACTCTAGACAAAGGCTAGTGTTGCTTTGTTAGCTGGATGCATAATATAACACAATAACAGGTTCACTTTAACAACTTTATAATCTGCCAATATGTCAAATGTTGTGTTTTAAGCTTGTTGCTTTGCTTTCAAGAGGCTAAAAAAATCAAAAAATCTTTGGTATGTAAAGATGCACACCGATCTCTTATTGCATTAATGGGTCAGGCTAATGAAAACTCTTATAGGTCGTATCTGTATAGCTTATACCTGGCTTTGGTTGTGTGTATGACACCTGATAGGTCGGTGACATTTTCACTGCACACAAACAGCTTCACAAACTCAACCCAGATGTTCCATCACCTGTGCTGTTCCTACTTTTTAAGCTGTAAGTGACTGCAGCGCTTTTTACAAACCTGAGTGCCTCTGTAGATATGGTGATGGGGTTCCAGCCCCTGTAATCTTACCAGTATTTTCCCCATCATATTCAGGACATGAGAGCGACTCCAACCAATGATTTATCATTAGCATGTGAAGGCTCATTGCGAAATATTAGGGTTTTCTGGGAAGCTACGATGTGACCCAGATGGGAGATAGTGTGACCTGACAGAAGAGAGCACTCCAGGGAAAAGAGAGGGTGCAGATGAAGAATCACCAGATTTGTGGGGCTGAAGGCAGAAGATGTATATTTCACTGACAAAGGTTCACAGGATTAACAGGCCCCCACTGGTCAGGGACCAGGAAGAGGCAAAGAAAGAGAGAGAAGGGATTATAAGTGAGCTATGCTGCCCTGATGTGTATGATATCAATTATGCAGTAAATCAGCAAATCAGTGCAGGTCTCTGCTGGTTAACCCTACTCTGATCTCAGGTCATGTAAGGAGGACTTAATTAAGGGATGATAAATGGTCTGGGATTCTGTGGCTTGTAAATTACTGTTGCAGTCGGGTGAGAACCTTTTTATCTTCAAACGTGAGCATTACAGGAACAAAGAAAAACAGCCTTGTTTGTGTAGCTTGACCGCTGTACATTTTTCAATTTATTCATTTTATTCTGAAAAGGTCTCACAAACCGTAGACATCAGAGAATCCTTGATGAATGATGTATATTTTTTAAGAAGTTTCCCTTTTTGTGAAATTATAATGTCAGAAAAGTCCATTTAGTTTCATTTCTAATGCATTCACTGTCAGTAAGTTGCGAAAGCCTCATGTTATTGACACATCCCGAGCCATTCATTTTAAAAGCCTCACACACAAAAAAACAAGCATTACGAAACGTGGCGCCACAGAGATTCAGGGCCAAGTCATAAATTTAGTTGAGACAGAGTTTGCCATTCTCATGAACTCTTTACCTAGTAGGTCTAACACAAACACACAGTCATTCATCTCTTTCAATAACACAGGCGACTCACCCTCTCTGCAAGTGATAGAGTGCCTGGCTGTCAATGGTTACACCTACAAGCCATAATATTCCGTTGAGCTGAAGATAATCATTGCGTGCTAATATGAATCTTCCTCAAAGATAGAAATAGGATAAAGCATTTGACTCACAACACTGACTGAGTAAAAAAAAAAAAGCCTAGAAATTAAAAACAATGATGGGATGATTAACTCGTTTGAGCTCTTCTTGTTGTCGTGCATGACACTGAAAATCCTTGCAGTCATGTTTTGGGGGATGATGAAAGCATTCTTCTGGCAATCCCTCAAACAAGCCAAATCCAGTGGTGGCATGGACTGAAACAGCAGGGGCTTATCATCGCCTTTGTGTCTTGTCATGTTGTTTGAGGAAGCTAAGCCTCCGTCTTCTCTGCAATACGCCACTCAGGTATTTGTGAGCTGGCCATATTTTAATGCCAAATACATTCTAAGACTTTGGATTGTTGGTCATTTCCCAACTCTGTCTTGACTTGATAGTGGCTGTGGAGCGATATGGTTGGGAAATGTGAGGAATGTCCTACATTTAGATTTCTACAGCGGTATTCAGTGCATGGATTAATTTGTCGCCAGCACACGCAGCTTTCATTCTTCATTGACAGGGAACGAGATGGGGAAATGCGACAAATAAATATTACACAATAAGAGCTAAATCACAGAGATGTCAGTCAGTGCTTCTCGTTGCTGGTTCCAGGATTATATATGTCTCATGAATGCAGGAGGGGTTTTCAATCTAATTAATTATTAGTGTCCAATCTGAGCAGTGATGCATTTCCTTCCTGTTATTTAGGAAACATATTCTGTTTTATTGTAGCTCAACATTTTGCCCAACATCTGCACATCTAGCACATCTAAAGGAAATGATATGGTCTAATGGCGAAATGCATTTTCAAAGGATTTTGATGGGCACTCTTGTCCATTTCATACCTTTATCTTTCAATCTTTTCATAGCTTTATATTATATTTAACCAGCGTGCTTCCACCATATTCCACCAAGTACATTTCAGTTGGATGAAGTTAGAAGTGACATTTACTAAAATAGCTCTCAGTGAAATAAATACAACTGAATAATACTTAACATTCAGTATTCAGAACAACATTCAACATTTTCGTTTTTGTAATGTACTTATTGTGCAGCGGTCATTTACTAAGAAGTAGCTACATGTATAATATATGTGTAAAATGAAAGAGTCCCTCTCTTGCATTATACATAAAGCTACTTGTCATGTAAGACAAGACATGAATGTACAAATCCATTCCCCTTTTTATTTGTTTCTGTATCCATTGATTTAATCTGTAATCTGTGCTCAAGCCTGCTATACTCTACAGAACACCTGCTGAACTATACTCGGAAAAGCTCTACTTTACTGACCTCTATTCTACAGTCTTTTGAGTAGAGTAGACTAGAGTAGCTCTACTGTACTGTAGTTGAGCTCTGTAGAGCTCTACAATGCTCTATTCTAGCTCTAGTCTAATGAACTCTAGTTTACTGTACTTTACACAGCTATACACAGCTCTACTCTTTTCTAATGAACTCTAGTCTACTGTACTTTACTCTGCTCCTCCAATCTCCTCTCAGATGAAAGTGCCCTCTCCTCTCTTTATGGTCAGTCTTATGCACTTGGACCTTTCACTTCTGCCCCCATGGGCAGACCAGAGTAAAAATATCTCTCTGCTCGACTGTTGGCCTCCTGGTGTGTGTGCAGCCTGAGAGTAATTAGGAAACAGATGGAGGCAAATACACATGGGAACTGTCCCAGCATCTCTGAGCCGGTGGGACGACTGATCCCCTTCACTCATTCCTTCCATTTCCTTTTAGCATTTGGGAGTATTCCAGAGAGACCTATACATCTCAGTCTGACATAATTAAGTGTGAGTAAATATAGGAGAAGTTTTCATGGCGACCCTCCCTCCACCCCCAAACACACATATACACACAATTTTATATTAATATTATTACTACAATAGTTGTAAATGAAACACATTTAATCTGTCGCAGCTAATTAGTTGTATTCCTGGAAGAGTAATGTTGAATATTCCCTCTGTCCCTCTGTTCATTAGGTAACTTGTCAAAGACCTGCACTGAGGATGGCTGGACCCCAATCAGTATAGACTCCTACATAATGGACTGTGGCTACAACCCCAACAGCACCATAGATGATAACACGGTCAGTATGGCAACCATGGTTACCAAACTCCTCCAGCCCTATGTTGCTACTGCTGCTGGATGAACTGTTTTCACTGAGTGTGTGAACATTTTTGCAGGGAGAATTCTTCGACGCCATCAAAGTGGGTTACACCATTGGTCACAGTGTGTCGCTCATTTCTCTGACGATCGCCATCATCATACTGTGTCTCTTTCGGTAAGGAGATCCAACAAAATGCTACTTAATGTCCCCGCGTAAAGACAATCAGACACCTTTTTCCATCATTTAGAGTGATAAAACCCGTTGATCTCTCAGTTCACACCATACTTCCTGCATTTTATAGAGGTTTTACTGTGTTTTTCACACAGTAATGTGTCTCTGCCAGATTCTGTGGGACAAGACGTCCAAATCTGACATTATCTCCTCTTGCAACATTTCTCAAACAAAGCGGTCAACTGCAAGCAGTCATAAAATCAGGCCATTTACAGGCTGCTGTTCACAGCATGTTCCTTTTTGACTTTCACGTTCTGGGATTGCAGAGAAAAACTGTGTGAGTGCACGTTGGCATGACCTAGCACTCATCATTTGAATAATAAGTGGCTGGTGTGTGTGGCTTCTAATAAACAACGCAGTCTGTTCATTTGGGTGTGTTTGCATGTGGAGTGTTTGCATGTTACGGGCTAAACAACAAGAGATTTGTTTACTCCTCTGGCTTATGAAATGCCAATGGTTTGGACTCTGGAGCAGAGACACAGGATGTGAACAGCGTTTGCTGTTTATGTTCGGCTGCAGACGCCGTGTTCAGGCAGCTGGTTGATGCTGTGTGTCATCGCACCCATCCTGCTGGGATGACTCGCCTGATGGGTTTACACAATTCACCCCCAATCATAAGCTCACCAGGAAGGCATTTGTTCGAGAAGACCCAGAAAAGATCATTCATATTTTTAAAAAAAACCCTGATTTGTTCTTATTTACCTCTTTGCTAAATGTCAAGTCAGGGCTTTTTACATTTGTTTCTGCCTGATAAATATATGTTTCACTGGAAAATTACAGTGCAAATTAAGCATGAAACATACAGGTGGCTTTTCTTGACAATTGCATGGTTTATATGTAGCTTGACATTTAGATAATAGCACAGTAGGAGCACTTTGCAAGGCAATGTACAGTAAGTGCATATAATGACTACTCTCCTCAGCTAAAATTCACATTCTTTCTGTGTTTTCTTGACCATTTTTTTGTGCTTTTGTGCCATAAACACACACTTTATCAGATGATTTTTTGGGATAGGCCATGTAAATAGTTCAATTGAAATGTTTAATCAAAGGGAATTCATGTTGCTTTTCCTTCTTGATTGAAATCACCAACAGTATATTTGTCTTCTTTTACAGGAAGCTGCACTGCACAAGGAACTACATCCACATGCATCTGTTTATGTCTTTTATACTGAAAGCCGTGGCTGTTTTCATCAAGGACGTGGTTCTGTATGACGTCGGGGAGACAGACAATTGCCAGTCAACTGTGAGTACTCTGCACACTCTGTACTCCTAAAGGCTCCTACCTCGCTCGCCAACAAGTCCATTTTATTAGAAAAACTCCACATTTTATTGATGTTCTTCCCTCATACATCAAGTTAACTCGTCCGTCTGATATACGAATGGCAGCCAGCTTTTTTTTTTTCCTTGGCTGAGGCGAACAGCATCTATTCAATAACTCACTCCGACTTTACTGACTTTAATGCTTTGTCTCGGAGTTTACTTAACATGCGAGCGCTCAAGTGCCTCTGGGTGTAGCAGTGTTTGCCAAGTCCCTTCCACTCCTGAGACGACGTTCCTTCATTCATCTGTCCAGCAGGATGTTGTGAGAGTTCCTGTTTGCTGAACATTAAGCCTGAATTACCAAGAGCTTTGTCAATGACACAGTTTTCATATCTAGTTTTAATCACCTTGTCGCGACAGTATGACTATAGTGACAATATAAAAACAGTATAAGTGCTAAGTTAAGATAAGGAGTTAGATAAGCTACTGATTGGTCATACTAGGGCTATTTTATTCTCATTTGATTGATCAAGTCACCAATGTTAGTTTCTCAGGTCTTGCTCCAGCTGAATCCACTGCTTTATTACCAGAAGATTAGATCCACAAACCACCTGGTTGAGTGTTAATGGCTGAGCTTAGATATTTCCTCCTCAGGGTACACACATAGTCCTGGTCCAAACACAGCTGCTAATACTCTCAACTATTTATAAACTCAACATAAAAAATGTAGAAAGCAACCTATTAAAGGGGAACTGATTTGATACATCGAGATCAGTTTACTCCTCATGAAGAGCACCTCTCCACCTTTGAAAATGCTTAAGAGCCAAGTGAAACCTCATTCAAAATCGTTTAAAGCGTTGGTTAATATCATGGATATTGAAAAACCAAGTTACAAGTATACATAGCATGCTGGTACATTTCCATGGGAATTGTATTTTTTTGTGCTAACAAGTTAGTCATTGTTCACTTTGTTACAAAGGTTTTAGCTCCTAATAGCAAGTGCTCTTGTAAATACTTATTAATCTTAGAATATGAAGAGTAACCCCTGGGAGAATGTATTACTTTTTCTAGAAGAACAATAAAAGAAAGCTCTATGAGAGATTGCATTGCAAAGTGCATATCACCACCTACTGTACACACACTTAACTTAATCAACTGACTAAATCAATGTTATTTAGCTAAAACAATGTCTTGTTAGGAGTGCCACTTTAAAGGTCCAGTGTGTAATATTTAGGATCTACAGATCTACAGATGCCGCAGGTTGCCACGTTGAACCACCATGTTTCTACAGTAGCCCAAAACGGACAAACCGAACAGTAGATAGGACTGCAACTACACTGCTAGATGCCACTAAATCCTACACACTGGACCTTAAAAGTGACACAAAATGAAACTTTTGAAAGTAGGAATAACACAATTGTCCTCTTTACAAATGAAAACTTATAACAAGCACCAAGCAAAGCACTCAGAGGTTTTACCTCTACACCCTTAGTTGGTCTGGTATGGGCAGTGGCTTATGGCAGCTGTGATACCAGATTAAACTAGATATTGTTTTACTGTATGAGTTACTTTGCTGACTCTTCTTGTGTTACTGTTATACTCCATTCAGTTGTTTACGCTTACCCATCATTGTCACAATGGGCATTGTTCAGAAAAGTTACATCCTTGCTGCCTTGCTTTAAGCTATTCAGTGACTGTTGCCTCCCTTCTTACAAATATTTCTCTTACTAATATTACACCTACTGAGCAACCGAATACCGTATCTTCCCATGGTACTGTGAGGAGCTTTAGATAGAAAAATGAACACGAATCTCGAATGCACTTTGATTGCAGGTTTAATTACTCTAGCAGTCTTAATTAGTGTAATCAGCACAACCATAAGATGACCCCTGTAGGATTTTGTCTGATTACATCATGCTCATATTAAAGTAATAATGACTGACTCCTCACTGCTGCTTTTGAAAAGTGACTTGTCAAGTCTAACAGATCGTTTTCAGATAAGTGAGTCATCAATATTAATTTTAGAGTAATTTGCTAAAAACATTCTCTGTGTAGCCTCATCCACTGGCAACAAAACTTGTCTTCATCATTTGGAGTGACGAATGTGTTCATCTACATTCTGGCGATGCAATAAGCCACTAACATCCAGGCTCTCCTGTAGGTTGGCTGCAAGGCAGCGATGGTCTTCTTCCAGTATGGGATCATGGCGAGTTACTTCTGGCTGCTGGTGGAGGGCCTCTATCTCCACACTCTGTTAGCTGTTTCCTTCTTCTCTGAGAGGAAGTACTTCTGGTGGTACATCCTGATTGGTTGGGGTACGTGCCAGCCTCTTTACCATATGTTGATGAATACAGATAGCTCACACAAGCTCATATACAACATTTGATCCATCCATTTTTCTGAAGTGGCAGCCAGAAATCATCAAATGCTCATCAAGTCACATTCACCAGGCTACTTGAAGGTCTGTTTTGTCTTTACAAACAGCCACAACCTACGTGATCGTATTTAAATTAATTTATAAGTGAGGTTTTATACATGCATGGTAAAATACTGTACCTTCCCCCTGCATATGAATGAGTCTTGCTGGCAGTCTTAGATTAGCAGCAGCAAGCAGCTGCCACTCTGCTGTTGTTGTTATAATTGAGTCCAAGAGTCTTGCTTGTGATGCTCTTAGAATAGCTCATTTAATGAATTCAGGCTTCTATGGCAGACATAACATGTGAATAAAATGAATTTAAACTTGAAATAAATTTTGATATTGCTAATGGATAGATACATTTGGCAACGAGGACGCTTCGTTGGAAGATATAAAAATATACACGCAGTATATTCACCCAGAAGTACTAACTCAAGCCCTCAAGAGCTTTCATCTTAAAAACATTTCTCCCTACATTTTCATCCTTCCGAACATTTATTTCGGTGTCAAAATTCCAGTGCCTTTGAAATGTATATTTAGCAACCATTCCCCAAAATTTCGGATGTTCTTTTTCCATCACACCAGTAAAGTAACACTATAAAAAGGCCTGAAATGGAGCAGGAAAATGGAAACAAGCCTGTGACTTTCCTGCAGATACCCAGGATGTGCCAATATTGGCACAGAGCACATATGAGTCCAGTTAAAAATGATAAGCATACCCAAAAGGCAATATTACTTTAGCAATAAAATCATCCAAAAGATTAACAGTGTGTACACGCTCAAGGCTCACTGTCATATTTGGTGGTGTTGAGTCAGTGTGTTGTTTGTTTCACCAGTGGACATAATTAATAGTTTCTCTCTGTGACATGGAGATTATTTTAGAGTTGAATTGTACAAATTCTGTTTATGTTTGCAGGGGCTCCAACCATCTTTATCTCAGCATGGGTGATTACAAAGGCTTATTTACATGATCCTGGGTGAGTAAAACATTTGTCTCTGTTTTAATCCTGTTGATTAAAGTAATTTATCAGTTCAGCTGATTTAAAATGAGTAGAATAACATTTACACACTCAAAATAACATTTAGGTTGAAACTGTAGATTTCTTTATTATATTAGATCAATAGTTCAAATAGACAAGGAAGCTAAAAGAACAAATTTTCTTTAGATTGTCCAAAGGTAGATTTTAGGATCAGGTTTTTTTCAGGTAATTCTTTAAGTTTAAGTCACAAAACTTCTAATCTTGTTTCCCCATCTGTTCCTGTAGTTAATCCTCTCTGCCTTTGCAACAACAAGGGCTTGTTTAATCTTTGTTTACTTTTGTTTATGTGTGTTTGTAACTCTCTTCTGATAGATGCTGGGAGATAATTGATGACAATCCATGGTGGATCATCAAAACACCTATTTTAGTCACCATTCTTGTGAGTCACGACGCCTCTTCATAACATTTTAACTGCTGTTCTGCTTAATGCAATCACATTAACCATTTTTATTTTTTACTCTCCCGGCAGGTGAACTTTTTCCTCTTCATCTGTATAATCCGGATTTTGCGACAGAAGATGAATTGCCCTGACATCGGAAGAAAGGAATCCAATCAGTACTCGTAAGGTTTTCAGTGCCGAATGTCAACATCTCTATCATAGCATGCATTTTCATAAGGTGACAATGAATAAATAATTTTTCGGCCATGATGTTGTTAGTGGTGAGCAATAATAGATTTTGCTTAGTGACGAGTATAGCCTTGACTCTAGCTTTCGTGGGGTGAACTCATTTTTATACCTTTTGTTTTAGGAGACTGGCAAAATCCACTCTGCTGCTGATACCTCTCTTTGGCATAAACTACATTATTTTTGCCTTCATCCCTGACGACATCCACCCACAAGTGAGGATGGTGTTCGATCTTATTCTGGGGTCATTTCAGGTAACGTCCATAACAGGTGTCAAATTACAACATTACAATTTTTCAAACGTCAGACCGAAGCAGCGCTACATATTGATGAATTAGGGGTTTAATGTATCTAATTTTGATGATGACATGCTTGCCGTGTTGTGTTGGGAAAGATCTGCGCCACAAATCACCAGATAGAAAGCAGAAGTGGCTTTATTCAGTAAAGTTACATAAAAAAAAGTTTGGTAACAGGAAGACAGTTTGTCCGATTAAGCAAATGAATAGTTTGTTTAGCTGACATATTTAATTTTGTATGCTTGAATAAGGAGGTTACTGATTTACTGAGTATTAAATTGAATGTGAGCGCTGAGAGCCAAGTGCAATGATGGAAACCTAGCGATGGAAAGTATTCCGAATTTATAACTGTTTTAAGCTCAGAATGATATCTCCTGGGAAAAATTCCCAGAGATGTAAATAATGAACCTCCTGTCTGAGCCTGAAGTTGGTCATCATCTTACCATCATTATTCATACACAAACATTTTGAGTGTTTCCCCAGCTGTACTATAACACTAGTATGTCTTTTCAACAACAGCTCTTATTGGGCAGTACATTTTATCCACTTCTCTCTCTTCTTCAGGGTTTCGTTGTTGCCGTTTTATACTGCTTTCTGAATGGAGAGGTAAGTAAATTCAAACAAAAACAGCTCTTTAAGATGTTTGATGTCCTTTTTACGTCACCAAATCAAATTTTTCTTCCCCTCTCCACCCTCTTAACGCCCCCTCTTCATCCTGTTTGTCAACCTCCTCTCCTCTCCCTCAGGTGCAGGCGGAGATTAAGCGTAAGTGGCGCAGATGGATGCTGCAGAGGTTCCTGGGGGCTGACACAAAGTACCAGCAGCCCTCCAACGGCAACAACTTCAGCACCCAGATCACCATGTTGACCAAATGCAGCCCCACAACACGCCGGGCATCTGAGTGTCAGGAGCACCTCTCTGCCATCTGAAACCCATCTAAAAGTGAACTCACCTCATTGTTTTTATCATTATGTGCTGAATGCGTGCACTGTTGCAGTGTAATTGATATTAGTTACTGAAAGTCATTTTGACATTTTAGTTCTGGAGCTAATATTTGTCCATTGTAACTTTATCCACTGCAGTGTTTTCTTGCCAGGGTGGAAAGGCAACTGAAACCAACTACAGAACACATCACCTGTTTAGTAAATAAGTTACATTAACTTAACAAGAGGAATTGAAATTTTCACGGACTGTTCCAATATAGCTTTGATCAGTGAGGAACTTCCATTGTATTGGAGGTTGACCACACTAACCACATTGACGTTCATGTGTATAACAGCCAGTGTCACACTGATATTATAGGCAAACAGTTTAGTTCCTTCCACAGTGTAAAATTTTGTTGAGATCACATGATGAGTAAACCTGAACTGACAACTGACAATTTGTTGAAAATAAATTCACAGAATAAAATGAACAAAGTATTTTATAAGTAATGCACTACAGAAATCTGCTGGGAGGACAGAGATCTTTGTGACCACTATGTGAATTAAAGGGAACTGGAGCTCTTGGCCAGCGTTTTCCATCAGATGTTAAGCGATAGATGGATAGAGCCAGAGATGAGCTGTGTCTTATAAGTAGCAAGATGTTTATTAAAAGGGTGTGTTACACAAGAGGACTCCAAGCACTTAACATAATGACTCATGTGGCTTAGGGAACTGATGGTAACAACATTAATGACATTGTCAGGCTGTCATGAACAGTGGTCACTGAGGAGGAATCTATAGCATAACCAACATACTGGACGTTCCTATCCTGTCTACTATCCTGTCTATGACAGTTTTATACGGGGCATACACTCTGCTGAATTACTGCCGGATAACATTCCAGAGGAGACACTAAAGCTCCCGCTTGTGAAATTTATCTGGGATTACAGAGGCTTTTAGTTTTGTCTGAGTGCGCACTCAGTTCATTTTTACTATTTCTGCAACTAATGGACCAGATGTATTCCTTTATTAGTCCATAATACACAACATTGTGAATAAACATGTGGCAACAGTGATTAACTTCCATTAACTGGATTGCATGGACAAGTCATGTCATTGCAGTGATTGTTAGTTATTTATTCTATTCTATTCTATTCTATTCTATTCTATTCTATTCTATATTTAGATATTAAATGAATATGGTATTGCATCCTACTGTTTTTAGCCACTAGCAGCATGGCTCTGTGCATTGTCAGCACACCACTTTGGTCCAGTCTGGATATGGATATACTGTATGGATAGATTGCCATGACATTTTGTACAAATATTCATGGGTGAATCTTAATGACTTTGATGATCCTCTGACTTTTTATCTAGCTCCACCAGCAGGTCAAAGTTTCCAATTATATCTAATGAAATATGTCATCATCTACAAGATGGATTGGGACAATATGTTTTACAGACATTCATTATTCCTTTTAGATGAATTGTAATGACTTTGGTAATCCCCTGACTGTACCGCTAGCACCAGTGTAAGGTTTAAATTTGTGGTTTCAAGGGAAATGTCTCATCAACTTTTGAAGTAATTGCTGTGAAATGTGTTTCAGACATTCATGTTCCAAACCCAGATGAACTGTAATAATTATGATTTTACTTTTCATTTAGAGACATCATCAAGTAAAAAGGCCAATTTGTCTGTCTTTGATTTGACTAAATAACTACAAAACCTATGACATTCCCATCAGCCTCAACTATACTTTGTATTTAGTGCTAACTAACAAATGTTAGCATGCTAACACCTTCTAAACATCAGCTTAGCTGTATTATCTTGATGTAATAGAGTTTATCAAGCTATATGACACCATGCATGATGGTGTCAACTCTCTCTCTCTCTCTCTCTCTCTCTCTCTCTCTCTTTGTGTGTGTGTTTAATAATGTTTTCAAACATTTATTTGAAGCCACCTCCTGCTAAAAAAAGACATTTTAGACGTTAATATGAACAGGCAGTGACAGTGTCACATTTCATTAAGGGGAAACATGTTGGAGTTTGATGTTTATTTTAGTTCCCCTTCTTGTTGTACTAGTGTGTGTGTAAACCTGAAACTGAACTGAAACTAACTGAAAGTACCTCACGCTCAATATCACACACAGCTGTTGTATATAATGTGAAACTGTATATACGGCTAAAGAATTTGTTTATAATGTGTTTTTCGTGGTGATGACTTATAGTGCTCAGGTGTCAACTGGAAATTGATGTTTACATTTAAAACTGTGCGTTCCTCACTCATGCTATTTGCATGATGTCAATAAAGTGTCTCTTAATTGTTGTAAAGTGTGTGTAAATATGGTGTCCTGTACAGTATGTGGAATCATCTGTAAAGATGTTATTGAACAAAATGTCAGACTGAATAAAACCATTTGCACTGTGGACAGGCCTTCTGTTGTTCCAACTAAAAGTGAGACAGAGTCAGTTAAAGCAATTCAATCCACCCTTATCTTTATTTGTGCTTTAAATAAAGCAAACTGGTAATAAAGAAAATTCATGAAATAATATAACAAAAAACAGATGTACAAATCAACATTTTAGCTTTTTATAAAATACATTTGACTCATGTTGTTCACCTTCACTTAGACATGCATGTGTCTCCCCCTGCTGGTAACATGAGATAAAACAATTTGTTGCTGATTTTCTTAACCCCTTATCATCTTCCGAGACCAAATTCACTTGTTACCCTTGAAACATCCCGTACCCTAAGCTAATTTTGGGCCAGTGTCCATAATGAGTGCACTCATTTACATCAATGCTAATGTTACATCATTAAGCTCATAGCACCAACAGTTATAACTTGGTGAGACGCAGAGTGTTGAGACGCACTGGAAGAATAGTGGCTCCCTCCGCATAGCTTATCTCCCGCAAAATCCCATTCCAGCACTTCTCTGACTCATCATATCTGTGGGAAACATAAATATGTTAGTGTATGGTGCTCTTATAGTGGCACAAGATAGAACACAGTAATAATACATCTCAATGCCTTTCATTTACAGAGAATGACATGAAAGGGAGTTTTTGGTGTTGCTCCAATGATAACAATATAGGGGGGAAAAGTAGTATAGTATAGGAAGTTCATTTCTTTTGTTTTATGTATATATGTATAGAAATCAAACTTTCATGGCATACATCCTGTCAATAGCAGTGAAAAGCTCATTAATATGACAGTTCAGTCCCATTTATGAGGGTTTCAATATTTGGAGGATGGTAATCTTATTCCCACATAACAATAATAAACAATACAAATAAACAGAGAAAATGGTTGGGTTTTTTCTTTTGTATTTCAGTCATTGTGATCACATTATAATGACTCATCATGCGTATTGAGTGAATAAAGGGCGCTCTGACCTCCAGATGTCAGTCATCTCTGTTGGGACGGGCTCCTCACTGGTTTCACTGGGCATCATGGCAAAGCCCCCCAAAGCATATAAGAAGTCTCCCATCGAGACCAGATTGAGAGAGCTGCGCTCCTGAGGGAACTCTGTGAATTCAGACCACCTGGAGCACAACAGGACAATAACCCACGCACACACACACACAAACACAATGAAGTGATAAGTAAGCTGCTATATCACTGTATGATACCCACAGCAACGCATAGAGTGCTATTTTATGACCTAATGATCTGCCATTCACGCCCAGTGAGTCATTTCACTACTGTGGACAGATGCTTCGCCTCATAACGATGAGATAAAGTGGGTAATATAAAAAAAGCAGTTGTCTCACTTGTTGGTGGCAATATCGTAGACCTCCACAGAGCTGGTGAGGCCTGCGTCTGTTACCCCCGTCACAGCGTAGATCTGGTCTTTGTGGACTGTGATACCAAACAGGGAGCGGGCTGTCTTCAGAGGAGCCAGGTCCTTCCACTCAAACTTAGTGGGGTTGTAGACAGAGACTCTTCTCATGCATTTCCTGCGTAAAAAAAACAAGTTCAGTTTACTTGTCACAAGGAGTAGCACTCAGCCTGTACTCACAGTTGTATAACGTTTGATGTTTGTATAATGATGTCCTTAGGGTTGGCTTGTACTTGAAACTTTTGAGAATTTCTTAACTGAAAGCATTACAAACAGGTGTGGAGTTTAAAAGGAGGGAAAATAAGAGGCAGGGAGGGGCTAATGAAAGATGCTGTTGTGCTACATTATATGTAGAAGTAGAAGTATAGTAGGATCCAGTGTTTTTGGAGCTTGTCTCAGGACATCTTGGCCTATGTTGCCTCAATTTTTAACCATACTGATTGGTTTAGTTCTTAAATGTCAAATTTTTGTGATATCCAAAGTGATACCTGCTGTTACGAAATGTATAAATGAGTAATTGAGAAAGACATACCTTAAGCATCCTCTACAGACAGGTATTACAATATATACAAATAGTCTGCTT